GGTCCACTTGAGATAATTGACATCCTTACTCTGTTGTTCTCCAACCCGGGGGTGATGTGTTTTCTCCCATTTGTCTTTCTTATTTTAAAATAATTTATTTTTATTTTATGTGCATCGGTGTTTTGCTTGTATGTGTATGTCTGTATGAGGATGTCAGATCCCCTGGAACTGGAGTTACAGACCATTGAGAGCTGCCATGTGGGTGCTGGGAATTGAACCCTGGTCCTCTAGAAGAGGAGTCTTAGTCTGCTGATCCATCTCTCCAGCACCCCAGTCAGTCATCTCAAAGAATGTTCACTATTAGTGTAAAAGCTCTCTGCATCATTTGGTGTCCTTGTAAGTCTTATTTCTTTCCTAATTATTATTTTTTAAAAATATTTATTTATTTACTTATTATGTATACAGTGTCCTGTGTGTATGCCTGCAAGCCAGAAGAGGGCATCAGATCTCATTACAGATGGTTGTGAGACACCATGTGGTTGCTGGGAATTGAACTCAGGACCTTTGGAAGAGCAAGCAATGCTCTTAACCTCTGAGCCATCTCTCCAGCCCTTTCCTAATTATTTTTTAAAAATTTTAAAGATTAAATTATGAATAGAAGTTTAATTATGTGGAGCATTTGAACCCCTAGAGCTTGCAGGGTTGTGAGCTGCCCTGTGCGTGTGACAGTCAAACTCAGGTCCTCTGCAAGAGTAATGACTATTCTCTTTCTTTGTCATATTTTTTTGAAAATTATATTTTTATTTTCCGAATATAGTTCTTCACTTGCATTTGTTTGTCTGAGGGTGTCGGGTCTCATGGAACTGGAGTTGCAGACAGTTGTGAGCTGCCATGTGGGTGCTGGGAATTGAACCTGGGTCCATTTGGAAGAACAATCAGTGCTCTTAACCTCAGAGCCATCTCTCCAGACCCCTCTTTTTTCTTAAAAAAATATATTATTTTAGCTGGGCATGGTAGCTCATGCCTTTAATCCTAGCACTCCAGAGACAAAGGCAAGCGGATTTCTGAATTTGAGGCCAGTGTGGTCTACAAATCAAGTTCCAGGATATCCAGGGCTACACAGAGAAACTTTGTCTCGGAAAACCACACACACACACACACACACACACACACACACACACACACACACACTACACACAAATTTTAATTTTATTGGTGCCTCAGGATGTCAGTTTTCCTGGAACTGTAGTTATAGATGGTTGTGGGACACCACATGCATGGGTGCTAGGGGTCAAAGCCAGGTCCTTTGGAAGGACAATCTGATCTTGTCAACCAAGTCTTCTCTCCAGCCTGCAGCACCTACACTTAACTGCTGAGCCAACTTTCTAATGCCATTTACTAACTTTTGAGATACAGTTGCTCATATTTGAGGGTGACTTGGAACTGATTATCCTGCCTATTCCTTGTAAGCTAAGTTTACAGGTATGTGCCACCACATCCCGCTTATTGTACGTATAATTCTTGTAGCCACACTTATTTTAAGCACATGAATGTTCTGTCTGCACGTATGTCTACCATGTGCATGCCTGTGCCCTAGGAGGTCAGAAGAGGGCATTCTATATCCTGGAATGGAGTTATGAGCACTTGTGAGCCACCATGTAGGTGCTAGGAACTGAACCCATGTCCTCTGGAAGAGTAGTCAGGGATCTTAACTACTGAGTCATCTCTCCAAACCAAAAATATAATATTTTGTTTTTTTTTCCAGACAGGGTTTCTCTGTGTAACAGCTCTGGGCTGTCTTGGAACGTGCTTTGTAGACCAGGCTGACCTCGAACTCACAGAGATCCACCTGCCTCTGTCTCCCAAGAGCTGGGATTAAACATATATTTTTAAAGTTTCATTTTGTCTGTATTATGAAAAAACACAATTTTTTATTGACCTTGCCTTCTATGATCTGCTAAATTCGCATGATTGTAAGCATTTGTGGAGTTCCTTTTAGTTTATTTCTATCCACTGTTTCGTCAGCGTATATGGAGGTTCTCCTACACGCCCCCCCACCCCTTTAAACCACACTGGTTAGGAATAATGGAGGTATGAGACTGGACATCCTGGCTTTCTTCACCTCAGGGAAAATGACTTTCTTTTTAGACAGGGTCTCATGTAATAGAGGAGGACCTTGAACTCTTGGAGCTCCTGCTCTGTCTGTAGCCAATACAATGTAGAGCCTATCAAGACATGGCTGCTTGACCTCCCAACAGTCGTCTCAGCTCCCAGCTGGCATTACAGGTATGAGACACCTCACCCAGTTTCTTATTTTCATTTTTTTTAAGTTTTTTTTTTTTAGTTTTTCTTTTTTCTTTTTTTTTTTAAAGTATTTATTTATTTTGTATACAATATTCTGTCTGTGTGTATGACTGCAGGCCAGAAGAGGGCACCAGATCTCATTCCAGATGGTTGTGAGCCACCATGTGGTTGCTGGGAATTGAACTCAGGACCTTTGGAAGAGCAGGCAATGCTCTTAACCTCTGAGCCATCTCTCCAGCTCCCTTTTTTTTAGTTTTTCGAGACAGGGTTTCTCTGTAGCTTTGGAGCCTGTCCTGGCACTAGCTCTTGTAGACCAGGCTGGCCTCGAACTCACAGAGATCCGCCTGCCTCTGCCTCCCGAGTGCTGGGATTAAAGGCGTGCGCCACCACCGCCTGGCTTCTTATTTTCATTTTAAGACACTGGTCCTCACCATTGAGTTAGCACATGCCTATCATCCCAGACTTTGGGAAGCTGGGGCAGGAGAATCACAAATTGAGGACTAGACTGAGCTCCATGTGATCCTTTGAATTTTACGTCTCTATTCATGGCAGTTGGTCCCTAGCACTTCCTGGAATGTCCTTGACAGACTTTGGTGGATGGGTGCTGCTGCTTCAAAATGAATTGAGATCCATCTATCCCTTTGTAAGATTTACCCCATTGGCAATTCTAAGATATGAACCGGTCATGTGTAGGCTGACATTGGGGAACTTTTTCTCTCTCCTTTTAAAAATACTGTATGTGTGTGGGTACATATACCATGATCTGTTTGTGAAGCCTACAGGACAAATCTGTGTTTTCTTCTACATGGATTCTGGGGATCAAACTTGAGCCATCTCACTAGCTCCAGCTTACTTTTTGAGGTTCTACCACTGAACCTGGAGTTCAGTATTTCGGCTAAACTAGCTGACCAGGAAGTCCCCAGAATCCACCTGTCTCACACTCAGTGCTAGAGTTACACATACACACTGTCAAAAGTTTTTATGTGCACCTAGGTTTGTGTAGTGTTGGCTGGGTATGTGTATTACACACACACACACACACACACACACACACACACACACACACACCAGGCAAGCCAATTAGTGTTCTTCCACGACTTTTGCTTCAGTTCCTGACTCAAGGTTCCTTTCCTTGATGATAGACTATAATGTGTAAGGGGAAGTAAGCCCCCTTCTCCCCAGTTGGTTTGGTCATGGTCTTACCATGAAACAAAACTAAAACAGAACAAGCACTTGACCTCCTGAGCCATCTCCCAAGCCCCAGTGCAAACTTTCATCCCATATCGAAAGTCATGTATTAAAAAAAATTCTGATTAGTCTTTAAGGAGTTAAATTCAGTGATGTTTTCAAAGAATATTTTAGTTTGTAGCACCCCGCCCCCATTTTAACTGACTTTTGCTGTTATTCTTATTGAGCTTGCCTGTCTCCATATTAACACGAAGCCAGTGATTTTTATCTGTGATGTGTGAACTGGATGTTATAAATTTCATTACATTATTTGTGTGTATGCGTGGGCAGGTACAGACCACAGTGCCCCAGGCGAGGTTAAAGGATTACTGCTGGAGTTAGTTCTCTCCTTCCTAGGGATTGAAGTCATTAGGCTTGGTGGCAAGCTCCTCCTGTGAGCTTTTTACTTGCCCATTATGTTTTGGGTTCTGTTTATTTTCGTTTTTCCCAGACAGGGTCTCACTATGTATCTGACTGTCCCAGAACTATGTAGACTAACCAGGCCGGCCTCAAACTCAGAGATCTCCTGCCTCTGCCTTCCAAGTGCCACCACCACCACCCGGCAACATTGGGCATCTTTTAGTTCTTTCCACTTTATTTTTTAAAGATAGGGTTGCTATGTATTGTTGCTGGCCTAGAACTCACAATGTGACTATCTGTACTAAACCGGCCTTAAACTCACAGATTCACCTGCCTCTGCCTCCTAAATACACTACCATGCCTGGCTTCCATCTTAATTTTTTTGAGCCAGAGTCTCACTTAACCCAAAGACTGCTGCTTTGTCTAGAATGATTGGACAACAAGCCCCTAGCATCTTCCTGCCTGTTAGGGTTACAGGTGTGCTGCTATACCCACCTTTTGCTTGGGTGATAGGGAATCTGAACGTAGGCTCCCATGCTTGCATGACAAGCACTTTAACCAATGAACCATCCATCTTCCCAGCCCTTCCATGGGTTTTTGGTAGCAGCTTTGTCCTCTTTTTCCGGGCTCTAGAGCAGCACCAATAGCGAGGGAAATTCTATATAGAAGAAAGGCCTTCTCTGAAGCCTGCAAATGCCTCTCCACCCTGCCTTCTAGACAGTACAGCTCTCTAAAATCCTTGAAAATAGCTGGAAATGGGCTGGTTGTATCCTATTAAACCAGGCACAAGATGAATTCTAAAGATGTACTGAACTCCACAGCTGACATTTAAAGCCCCTAATAAATGTAAATACTGCAGAATAAATTTAAGCACTACCCGTTTATTTACAGAAATCTCTCCCACCCAGGCACGGAAGCCAGGAGTGAGGTTCTGCTTGTGCAAGAGACACTATCAGGTAAGGGCCACCATCCTAGACAGCTTTCATGATCAGTTGTAGCCTTCTGGTCACCTAAAAATCTGCCCACAAAGGAACTATCGTTGTCCTCTTAGCAGGGCAGTCTGTGTGTGTAAGCAGACAGGGTAGAGGTGGGTCCAACAATGATCACCAGATTAAAGTGCTTAGATATCTCTATACTGACAGAATAAATTTCCCAATTAAAAGAATTAAAAAAAAAAACAAACCAGAGCATGTTTTATTTCAATCCTGATGAGGGAAAGGGATGGAAAACACATAATAAGGGGAGGGGTCTTGTTATATAATACATACAACATCAGGGCCAACCATAGGGAATGAGACCTACTGCACCCCTCCCTGTCCAACTCCTACGCAGGTTCTGAAACCAGCTGAGGATAGATGGGATGTGAACTAAGACGCTTGGCACAGTAACATGGCCAATGGACCAAGAGATGGAGACTGTCCCAGGGAGCAAGGCCTCAGCTGCTCCCTTAGTGGAGAGGAATGAGAAACTTTGGCTCAGCAGGAAGGCAGATTTCAAAAATCAGTGTACCCCTGTTAAACCTTTTTTTTTTTCCTTTTCCCTTGTTAAACTTTACAGATCACAAACTGGAATGAGTCCAAACATCTATCAAGTTGATGCTGTTTCCTGTTTTCTCTAAGACCTTTCCCCTTCAGGCCTGAGTCCGCGTTCTCCTCTTCAATTGGAAGGCAAGGGAATGAGTGCTTATTCTAACCTTCCTAAATCTAGGCTACTTAATTACTACTTTCTCGGCTCTAGAGACAGAAGCCAACTGACAAGCCCGGCTCCCTTTGTGAAAGCCGGCTTAAAGAGCCCTTGGGTTGGCTCAACTGCCCCTACAAAGGTTTCTATGAGCATCCGTCCACCCCTTTTATACTACTTCCTCAAACTCAGTACAGACATCTTCAAGCATGTGAGACATGGGCTGAAGACTTGGTCTCTAGAGTTGGGGCAATAATCCCATCTTTGGAGATAAGGATGAGAGAGAAAGAGCAAGTGCTGAAAATGGGAGAAAGGTCACAGAAATAAAGGCAGTTTACAATAGGTTATAGATTCAAGCCCATGGAGATGGAAGGGGAACTCTGACACATTATCAACAAGTAAAAATATTTTAGTGACAACCCTGTAGTTTCCATAGACCAATAAAAAAATATGTGTTAAAAGGGGGAGAGGAGACTGAGCCAGCAGAATCCAGCCATTCATCTTAAATCTGAAGAAACTCATTCAGCTAATACTGTTTCAAGTATAATCATGAGCAGAGATGGCGCTGTTGAAAGGGATCCGACCTGGACCCAGGGGCTTGCTTGCCTCCCTCGAAAAGACACCGGAAACTGTCTTTGAAGACCTGGATCTCAAGATTGCCATCCTCCTGCCCCAGCACAACACTTTCAGGAAAGTTGGGTAAATTAAGACATCTGCTTTAAGTGTAAGCGGTTAGAAGAAGGGGAAAGCACTGAGATTTGGAAAAGCTAGCCGCTAAAGCCAGAACCAAGGTGAAGGTTCTCAGGGCAGCAGAGGGAAGGTGGAGTGCTCCTGCTTGTCCTTTGGCTGTCCTCTTCCCTGCCTCCCATTCCCCCCGACAGCCTGATGCAGCTATCCGTCTGCCAGAGGGGATGCAATGCCCAGACCAACTTTTTATTGAGCTTATGCAGCTAACAGACTTGTAAACAGTGCCAATTGACAAAGTTTTGCTGAAAACCACAGCTTGTGTCCATTAAACACACCTCTCTCTAGATTAAAAACAACAAAAACCCAAAGTAAACAAATACTGAAAGAATTAAAAGACACATCTTGAGTCTTCCAGGAAGGCAAAGTTAAAAAAAAAAAAAATTAAGCCACATGGCTTATGGTCCCAGGCACTCACCATGCCTAGAGTGTTGCTACTATTACCATGTCTCCTCTCTACCAGTGGCTAGGGGCAGGGTCATCTTGGGCATGCTGCAAATACAGCATTTGCTGGTGTTGACATCCTCCTGGGGCTGTGGTGGCAGACTGCTGTGTCAGGAGCCCAATTCCTGGGAGCAGCAGGGGGATCCAGGACCTCCAGTCAGCCCACACACCTCAGTGGGGTACTTTGCCCTTTTTCTCCAGTGCAGTTCAGCATTGAGGTTGTCTACTCCCAGTCGGCAATAAAACCTGAGCTGTTTTCCTCTTAGGTTCCACCCCACTCCCCAACTTATGGGAGTAGTGGGACGGAATAGAGAGGATCACTGAGGGGGCAGGGGAATTCCCCGGGGATCTGTGACCTGGCCCTCTTGCAGGTTCTTCACCAGTTGTGCAAGCCAGCGTTTCGTGGTGGTGTCATCTTTTAGCACCTGGGCAAAGGTTGTGTCCTTCAGCTGGTCAGGGAGGCACTGTCTGAGTGCTTCGCGTGCCCTACATCAGAAACAAACAAACCAACCAGGGAGACAACAAATAAACCCACATTTTGGGGCTTGGAAGAGCCCCTTTCTTAAATATAAATATACAGCTTCCTAGGTAGGAATCTATGCTCTGTTAATCAAGAATCTACTGGAATCCCTTAAAGCAGGTCTTATGCATATGTTCAGAATGTGCAGTCCACAAATATTTTCAGCATACCCCAGTGCAGATTTAATGCAAAAGCAAAATGGAATAAAACGGTGCAATAGTTTACTTCACTCCAAATTTTGTTTTGATTTATTATAATAAATACTGTCAAAAAATCATTAAGCATAGTTTATGGTAAATGAAATTATTTTAAAAATTGAACACTGACAGCAGACATGACTTCATTTGTATGATAAATCAATCGATTTTAATTCTTTTTATTTTAATTTTTTTGTTTGAAATATTCATTTATTTATTATGTATACAATATTCTTTCTACATGTATGCCTGCAGGCCAGAAGAGGACACCAGACCTCACAGATGGTTGTGAGCCACCATGTGGTTGCTGGGAATTGAACTCAGGACCTTTGGAAGTTGGAAGAGCAGGCAATGCTCTTAACCGCTGAGCCATCTCTCCAGCCTCCTCGATTTTAATTCTATACCAACAATCAGTTATGTCTTTAAGCAAACGCTTCAATTTTGTATTTGAAAGCCTTAATAAGAGATGAATAGTAAAAACTATGGCAACATTACCACCTAGAAGCCTCAAAGAGGCAAATGCCAACTCCATACAGGCTGTTCAGAACAGCTACAGCTCTGATACTCAAACAAGAAGAATTTCTAAGAAGTATATTGCAAGCTTGGGAGAAAATAGGAATTACCGAAAAATAGGACAACTTATGATCAAAGAATAGCTAGGGCTCGAATAACCTAGTGGCTACAGACTGGGTTCACATTAAGCTACCTGATTCCTAGGAACTCAGAAAGCACTCCATTATGTGGCTTGGCAGAATCTGAGCGTGTAGCTTTCAGCATAAATTATGGATGGATAGGACAAAAGGTCAAACATTTCTGAAGTGCATTACATCTACAAAGTGCAGGATGCTGGCAGATATCTTGATCACACCAAGAAAAAGCAATAAGCTCTACATCTTACAGGAAGCAGAGAACTGCAAGAGTAAGTAAAGAGCCTCCAGGCTACGGAACTTTGCAAGAGATCTTTGGAACTATACTTATCTTTCTGATTACTTGGAGTAGTCATAGAAAGCTCAAACAAACCACATGATATGGCCTCACTTGAAACTGTCTGGGCTTTCTGGAATTTGAGGGTAGGACAATGGGAAGATCTAACTAGGGGATATTCAAAATTAGAACCTTAGATTTTAATAGGAACTTAAATCCATCTAAGATAAACTAAGACACAGGACCTGAGCCACGAGACTTTTCCCTTAAGTCCTGAGTCCTGCAAATCTTTACCTGGGGTTATCTGAGAGTCGAAGGTAACATCTTACTACATGCTTCAGCAGACGGGCAGACGGTTCTTTGGATAGCTGCAGGACCATTTTACCCTGTTTTACCCAAAACAAGAATGGGAGAAAAAAACACAAATAATTTTGACACCAGAAATCAGATCATCTAAGAATCATTAAAGAAGTTTCCAATATTTTTTATTTTTTCCTTTTTTAGACAGGGTCTATGTGGCCTTGACTAGCCTAGCACTCACTATATAAATCAGGACTCAAACTCACAGAGATCTGCCTTTCTCTGTTTCTGGAGTTCAGAGATTAAAGGCACTTGCTATTATGACAGATAGTATTTTTGAGACAGGATATATTACTTCTTCACTTGGCTGGTGTGGAACTCTTGCTGGCCTCTAGCCTGCAGTGATCCTCTTGCCCCTCTCTGCCTTATAAATACTGGGATGACAGGCACGGGACACCATGGCTACAACAGTAGTTTCTAGTTAGAAGACTAAGTTTTCAGCCAGTTACAAAGGGACTAAGTAAGTTATGTGATCGGCAGTTGTAAAGAGAGTAAAGAAAAGAACTCACCAAGATCATGGCAACATGGGAAAAACGCTCATAAGTCTGACATATATAAGCCAAACCAGTGTCATCTAAGAGAATCTTCTGGAGGATGAATGTGGCAACCTAGAGCATAAAGAACAAATACTATCACAATGAGCAATTACTGTATGTCAGGATTTTTCTAAAGGCTATTTATAGGCCTTATTTTTCCTATTGAACTAATTAAGTATACACACCATGATTTTCATTTTTACATAAAAGGGAAAACCCTAGATAATTATTAGAATTGCCTAAAATTTGAGGCCAGCCTGAGGTACTTTGTGAGTACCAAACCAGCTTAGAATGGACTTAAAAACAAAAACAAAAAAATAAAAAACAAAACAAAACACAAAAACCAACGACCACACCCACCAACCCAAATGTCCTAATTTAAACCAGACAATCATTGTGGGGGGAAAAGTTTGAGACAGACTCTGTAGCCATGGCTAGCTAGCCTCAAACTCACAGCAATGCCCTTGTCTCAGCCTAGTAAATGTTGGGACTACAGGCAAGAGTCACAATGCTGGCTTGCAGAGGATTAGGATGCTAATTATCTCTCTTTGGTGTCATCAGAACTATCGTTACTGTTCTACTGAGGTATGTCACTACGATGGGCCAAACAGTATGCCTCCACAAAAATAGCCAGTGCTCGCAATCACTGAACCATCTCTCCAACTCCATCCTTGTACTTTAAAATACCTCCCAGGTTATTGTATCATTACAATAGCCTTGACCAAGAACCTTTATTTCAAAGTGTGCCTACTATGGGCAAGGTGTTATGTGTTATACAAAGAAAGCTAAATACAAAGCCTAGTATGGTGGTGCAAGTCAATCACCCAGTCAGTCCTCAGGAACCTGAGGTAGAAGGATTGTTCCAAATTTGAGGTCTGCCTGTGCTATACAGTGTCAGGCCAGTAAGGGCTACATAGCAAGACCCTGCCTCAGAGAGCAAAGATAGAAAGACAAGAGAAGCTATTAAGTTAAAAAAAAAAGTATCTGTGAGAACTACTCTTGTTGAAGCATAAAAAAATGCCAATGGAAACCTAGAGACAGGAATGAGTTAGTTTTAGACACGTGGAAGTAGGGGGTTACTGAAATAGGGACTAATCAAGTTGACTATAAAAATCAGTATTTATAAAAATAAATAAATCTTCTTAAAAAAGCGGTTAAATTCTGTAATCCTACTATTGTGAAAAATCACTATAATCTGAGGCATAAATTCCTCCAAACATGCTCTTCAATATAAACATGTAGTAGTAATAGTTAATTAGACTGGCAGGCACTTCACCTAAATATTTTTACAACTATCAAAAGATGTGTGTGTGTGTGTACATATGCATACAAGCACTCACCCCAAAACTGGTGAGCTGTAAAGAAATGTAAAACAGTGAGCTCTAAGACAGAAACATAGGAGAGCAGTAATGGAGACACCTGACAGTGATGGCTAGCTTCCACATGGTCATCTTCACAAATACTTTTTAAAAAAGATTTATATTTATTATGTACAGTGTTCGGCCTGCATGTATGCCTGCAGGCCAGAAGAAGGTACCAGATCTCATTACAGATGGTTGTGAGCCACCATGCGGTTGTTGGGAATTGAACTCAGGCCCTTTGGAAGAGCAGGCAATGCTCTTTAAACACTGAGGTTTGCGGTTTTTATGTCTGTCTTTTGAGACAGTGTCTTGCTATCAGCTCAGTTTGGCCATGAACTTGTGATCTTTCTGCCTCAGTTTCCATTGTTTTTGGTTTTTAATGATTATCTGATAGTTTTTACATGAAAAAGGAAAATATACAGGGACCCCAGAGACTGCTCAGGAGACAAAAGCAGTAGTGTGTGTACTGACTAGTTTATGTCAACCTGACACAAATTAGTGTCATCTGAGAGGAGGGAAACTCAATTGAGAGAATGTTTCCATAACACTGGGTTGTAGGCAAGCCTGCAAAAAAATTTTTTACTTTTTTTTTAAAAAATATTTATTTATTTATTTATTATGTATACAATATTCTGTCTGTGTGTATGCCTGCAGGCCAGAAGAGGGCACCAGACCCCATTACAGATGGTTGTGAGCCACCATGTGGTTGCTGGGAATTGAACTCAGGACCTTTGGAAGAGCAGGCAGTGCTCTTAACCTCTGAGCCATCTCTCCAGCCCTCATGTCTATCTTTTTTCTTATCTTTACAATCATTTTCCTTTCTTTTCTGGGGGAGGGGGGAGAAAGTGTGTGTGTGTGAATTTCTGTGCATTGTATGTGTACATGTGTCTTTTGAGGCCAGGAGAGGACTGGTGGTCTTGGGTGCTATATAAGAGAGAAGTTGAGGGGCTGGAGATATGGCTCAGTGGTTAAGAGCAGTGACTGCTCTTCCAGAGGACCCGGGTTCAATTCCCAGCACCCACATGGCAGCTCACAACTGTCTGACGATCCAGTTGCAGGGGATCTGACACCTTCACACCAATGCACATAAAATAAAGTTAAAATAAAAGCATAAAAATATTAAAAAAAAAAAAAAGGAAAAAAAAAAGGAAAAAAAAAAAAAGAGAGAAGTTGAGCAAGCTACATGGAGCAAGCCAGTAAGGAGTATTCCTCCAGGGCCTCTGCATCAGTGCTTGCCTTGACTTTCTGTTCTAACTTCCCTGGATAACAGACTACAAGCTGTAAGAGGAGATAAACACTTTCACCCCCAAGTTGCTTTTGGTCATAGTATATTATTACAGCAACAGAAACCTTAACTAAGACACTGTGTAACCCTGATGACCCAAGTTTGACTCCCAGAAACCACATAAAAAGCCAGATGTGGTGGCATGCATCTGTAATCCCAACACTTCTATAGTGAGATGGGAAACTGCCCAGAAGCTGGTGGACCAGCTCACTCACAGCAGTAGAAACAAGAGACCCTTCCCCAACAAGGTAGACAGGGAGCACCACCTCCCCAAAGTTGTCGTTTATGTCCACAGGTGTCCCATGGCACAGTCACTCACACCCACACAAATAAATACGCTTCAAAAGAGAAAAAGTATTTTTGAAGGTAAAATGTCTGGAGAGGCAGAAAATGATTCTAGCGCCACAAAACAGCTCAAGAGCTAAAACAATGCTGAATCTCACTTAAAAGCACGCACCGTTTTAGAAAGCTCACTTCCAGATTCCATAATGCGCAAACACAAAGGGATGATTTCTGTTGTCAATAAAAAGTTGATTACTTCTTGTTCGTCTGTTTTAACCAAGGCCCCTAAAGAAAATATGGACAAACAAAATTACTTTAGAGAAATGATTTCTAGTTACATTTACTCTGCAAGTTAAGGAATTAAAGTAATATACAGACTGCAGTTTCTGCGTCAAGCAATCAGTTTCATATCTACTTGAACAAAAACAACAACAGTCATGAGTATAATCCCACTATTGGGAAGGCTAAAGCTGGGAGATGTTGTTGAGTTCCAGACTAGTCTGAGCAACTTAAAGAAACATTGTGTCAAAGTTTAAAAAAGAATAAAGCAAATGGGGAAAGTGCTCAGTAGTAAGAACACTAGCCTAATACAAGGAGTTATTTAAACTAAATTCATTCAACGTAGTTAAAATCAAATTATTCTTTACTCCTTTATAATTTGATGCTAAAGCCAGATCTTGATTACATTTTTTTCTTTTTTCTTTTGGTTTTTTGAGACAGGATTTCTCTGTAGCTTTGGAGACTATCCTGGAACTAGCTCTTGTAGATCAGACTAGCCTCGAACTCTTAGAGATCCGCCTGCCTCTGCTAGGATCAGATCTTGATTACTGATCCTCGCCTTTGTTATTAGCAACATTGAGAATGGTGCTTGATATATTTGCAAGCACTTACTAATAAATGAGATGATGCCAAAAACAAAAAATAAATAAGCTGTAAGAAGACAAACAAAACATATTAACTTAGACCACTACTGTAAGAATTTCAGGCTTACAAAATGTCCCTAATAACTTACCTAGTCAGTGTGTTTCAGTTGGTAGAGTGTTTGCCTAGCATGCACGATACCTGGGTTTGATCCCTAACACTGCATTAAGTATGTTGATGTATATCTATAATCCCAGCACTTGGGAGATGGATGTTAAAGGAAAATAACAATTTTAAATAAAAAATTTAAGAGTATACTCAGGTACATAGCAAGCCTGAGGCTAGTCTATGACATACAAGACCCTATCTCAACAAAAACAAAACAAAAGTAATAAAATCACTCACCAATAACTCCAAGGCTGGTGAGCCGAAGATATTCAAAGGGACGAGTTTTGCTGACTGTGTGCAAAAAGGGGTACAAAAAAAGTGGGATGTGTGCTGCAAGAAAAGCCGACCTAAAAGAAAAAACAGCCACATATAGAACCCAGAGTTGACTTCTAAACATCAAGCCTGAAACAACATGTGAGATTGCCAGAGTGAGGAATCTTAAGAATTTCATTGGCTTTTAGTCTTGACCAACGTTCTGAAATGTGTAATTTTGTACCCTAGGAGATGTGTCAATGTTTGAAGATATATTTGATTGTCAGAAGCAAGAAATGTTGAGGACTATTAGCATACAATTACAGAGGCCAGAGATGTCTACAGCTTAGAATAGTATCCTCCTGCCCTCACTGACACATTATATACACTCAGCTAAGGTATCACTATGCAACATCCACCCAGGCGAGGGTGATTAAAGCAACACAATCTACCTCAGTATGTACCAAATATCTTAAGAACTGTAAGTACTCAACTATAGGTTAAAAAAAGTCAGTAAGTGCTAAAGCCAATGTATTGCTGCACACCTAGATAGAATCCCATTATTCAGGGCCTGCCTAAATTAGGAGAATCATGAGTTTGGGGCCATCCTGGAGACACTGTCTCCAAAAGAAGAAAGAAAGAGAAGAGGGGGAGAAGAGAGGAGAGCAGAGCAGAAAGAAGGGAAGGGGAGGGGAAAAGATGAGAGAAGAGAAGGAGGAGAGGAAAGAAAGAGAAGGGAGATAATATATAAGAAGAGAGGAGGAAAGGGGAGGGGAGGAGAGAAGAGGTTGTATCAGTGCTAAAGAGATTCTTCCAGAAGGCTGCAAAGATGGCTCTCGGTTAAGAGTATTTTTTGGGATCTGAGTTGAGGTTCCAACACCCATTTCGGGTTTTCTACAACTGACTCTGGAAGCTAGAATTGCAGGGGATCCGATGTTTTCTAGTCTCTGTAAGCACCCAGAAGAAGCGGCAGGCAAGCATGTGTGTTTGTCCTTTAGCACATGCATGCACACACGCTAAGGCCAGCTGTGGTGGCGCGCACCTTCAATCCCAGCACTTGGGAGGCAGAGGCAGGTGGATCTCTGTGAGTTGGAGGTCAGCCTCGTTTGTTTACAAAGAGAGTTCAAAAACGGGGGAGGGAAAGTCTTTTTAGATCAAACGTCACTGCTGTAAGATGACTCCGATTTAATTAAACATAAAATAATTACTTTTTTTTTTTTTTTAAACAGGGCCTTATTCTGTAGCAAGCCTCTTGTTTTTGCTTCCTGAATACTAGAATTACAGGTATGAACCACCATGTCAAGCTTAAAGCTCTGGTTTCCTATTTGGGATTAAATCACTGCCACAAAATACTTTTAAGGTAATTAAGCAAATCTTTTCTCTTTTTTTAAAAATATTTATTTATTTATTATGTATACAGTGTTCTTCCTGTATGTCTGCCTGCAGGCCAGAAGAGATCACCAGACCCCATTACAGATGGTTGTGAGCCACCATGTGGTTGCTGGGAATTGAACTCAGGCCCTTTAGAAGAGCAGGCAATGCTCTTAACCTCTGAGCCATCTCTCCAGCCCCCTTTATTTTTTATAATTTATTTAATTTCAGCACTTGGGAGGCAGAGGCAGGTAGATCTCTGTGAGTTTGAGACCAGCCTGGTCTACAAGAGCTAGTTCCAGGACAGGCAACAAAGCCACAGAGAAACCCTGGCTCAAAAATAAATAAATAAATAAATAAATAAATAATTTAAGTTTCCTCTGGAAGAGCAGTTAGTGCTCTTAACCACTGAGCCATGTTTCCTGCCCGCAAATCTTTCCTCTTAGAACATAACCAATCACTAAACTGGTCTGGTCGATCTGCTTATGTTCAGAGTGTTTACTGCTATTCTGAAAACTGTTTGTTTCTATGATGTTGAAAGAATGGAAGGGCTGGAGAGATGGCTCAGAGGTTAAGAGCATTACCTGCTCTTCCAAAGGTCCTGAGTTCAATTCCCAGCAACCACATGGTGGCTCACAACCATCTGTAATGAGGTCTGGTGCTCTCTTCTGGCCTGCAGGCATACACACAGACAGAATATTGTATACATAATAAATAAATATTTAAAAAAAAAAGAATGGAATTATACTCTACTTTATTTTAAATCATATTACTCTTCCCTCAATCTGTAGCCAGAGACTAAAAATAGCCATCAAACTTAACAGCATAGAAATATATATATATATATATGTCAACTGTCAAAGAAAAAAAAGAAAAAGGTGTGGATGGTGGTATACAACCATAATCCCAGCAGCACTTGACACATAGGTAGTAGGGTTAAGAGTTTGAAGACAGCCTCAGCTATAAAAACCAAAGCAAAAACAAATAACCCTAACCACAAATAACCACAAGGAACTCCAAAACCAACCAATAATAGTAATAGTAATAATAATAATAATAAGTTCTGAAGACTCACACCCACACACCACATTGCATGCCCTTTCTCTGATCACTCAGCAAGGGTATCTAAGTTCCTATGAAACACCAATCTGCCCCCACTAACTTTACCAACACACTCACAGCACTTACCTGGTCTCTGGGTGTGAGGCCACACATTGCAGTAATGCTAAAGCATTGCATACTCTGTTAGACTGATGTGCTGTCAAAGTTGGAGGGTTGATAGATGGATAAATATTTACAATTTCCTGAAAAAGTGCAAAGAATCCCAGAGAGCAATTAATCACAAAATTATATCACAGTGTCACAGCACAGTAACTTTAAAAGACCACTTTAATTCCTACAGAAATTGAATTATCCTTTCATCACAAGCATACAGGAATACCTAGGCAAGACCTTTCTCATGTGTCTCTAGGAATACTACTATGGCAACAAATGAGTCTCCTACACTTCCTCCTAGGTTTTGCAGCTAGTCTTTATGTTATGTGTTGATGTTTTGCCTGCATGTATGTCTGTGCCTCATGTGTATGCAGTGCTCACAGAGACCAGAAAGGTGTCAGATCCCTTGGAACTTGAGCCATAGCTGGTTGTAAGCCACAAGGCAATCAGAACCGAGACTTCTAAAAGAGCAGCCAATATTCTTTACCATTGAGCCATCTCTCCAGCTCCCATAGCTAGTCTTTTAATTGAGTGACCCTTATATAACATTTTATAACTTTAACTAATATTCTACTTTATAAAGATGAAACCCATATTGAACACAATCATTTACTTTAGCTGCAAATCTTTCCATAAAACCAATAGATTCTTGGCTACAAGTGTTGAATTTACTGAACAGATTTGAAAGACTATTAGTAATTTGGGGAGGAACTTTATAGGATGATTATTTTATATTATCTTGATACCTTGAGATTGTTTCATTTTAATTTAATTTATTTTCCACCTATAACCACTTTGGCCTGATTCAAATTTTCAGTTATTCACTCTTGGTCTTACTTTGTGTGGTGTGTGACATCACAGCACGTGTGTGGAAGTCAGAGGACAACCTGTAGGATCCAGTTAACCCCAGGGGTCAAACTCAGGCTGTTAGGCTTGGCAGCAACCAAATGCATTTACCCATAAGCCACCTCACCAGATGCAGTTGTTTATTTTTTAAAAACACAGAGATACCCGCTTTTAATGCGATAGCGGATACACCTTTATCTCAATATTTTCTTTCCTCAGCCACATCTATGTGGTCCTTATACTATTTCTATGTTCTTCCCTGCTATACAGATCAACCCATTGTATGTCTAAAAGCTGTGTCAAACACAGATTTTAAGGTTCACCTTTCAAACCAACTAAATTCAATCTCCAAAATATGTATTTTAACAAATACTTCTGCTTTTAAAAAATGGTTTCTTACAAATGCTAATATTTAAACAATCACTGGGCGGTGGTGGTCCACACCCTTAATCCCAGCACTTGGGAGGCAGAGGCAGGCGGATCTCTGTGGGTTCAAAGGCAGCCTGATCTACAAAGCAAGTTCTAGGACAGCCAGGGCTACAAAGAGAAACCCTGCCTCAACAAATGAACAAATATTTAAACAACCATTCTTCTAAAGTCTTCAAAAAGATCATTTGAGCGAAGGAAGAAGAAAACACACAAAGTGACAAACACGACTGAACTCTGTGAATACACACCCACCTGCAAAAGTGCTGCAATAGTACCGAATGAATGCCATAGCATGGGTGCAAGGTCAGGGACAGATTCTCGCTTCTTGCTTAGCTCCAGCAAAGCATTTTCCCTTGTTTCAGGACTGGACAGTTCATTGATCCACTGGTAGATCTTCTCTCTGTCCACTTGGGCCAGTGCAGTAGGCACAGGCTTCAGGGGAAAACAAGAAAACAAATGTCAATTTATTACAGTTAAACCAAATCTTATCCTGCAGTAGTGCTTTAGAAAATGTATTTTCTAAATAATAGGAGCTTTAATAAATGCATATATTTGATGTAAAGCAACTCAATCTGTTTCGCAGTTAATGAGCCCTTTAGGGGTTTATGTTATAGGTGTATTTGGGCTGTACTGAAAATATACCAGCATGCTTACTACTAAGATGTCTTAAGGCAGAAAACTAATAAACAGCTTTCAATAAGACATGATTTAAATATATCTTGGTGGATCTTTATATTGGAATATTATATAGCCCTTTATGAAAAGACATAGCTCAATATGGACCACATTACATAAAAAAAGCGTGCAAAATACATTCCCATAAAAAGAAGGATACGAATGGAAAGAGGCACACTTACATTTTAGCTTTAAATCCTTTGCCTAGTTCTCATAGAAAAAGTGCTAACAAAACTAAAATAAATAAATAAATAAATAATTAGTAAACCAAACTACCTTCACAAAGTTTAGCCATTTATAGAGTTGTGTGGCCTAGGGTAAGCCATTCAATTTTGTCACGGTTAAAGTGGAGCTACTGTACTAACTACCAGTTTCTAAAAAAAACTACAAGTTCAAAAATATCTTAGAAATTATTTAGATTTGTTGTAAGAGGGAAGCATCAATTTTATATAAGTATACTTCTCATACAGTAAACGCACACCATGTTAAGTAAACATTGTGATGAATTTTGATAAACTTATATATCTTAGTGACCACCCTAACAATTAAGATATAGATCACTTCTATTATCCAAAGTTATCCCCAAAAGTTCTCCGGGGCCTCTTTCAGTAACCCTATATAACCTAGTCTAGACAACACAGGTATTTTCTGCTACTGCAGAGAAGCCAATGCTGTCTAGGAATTCCTATTAGAAGGAAAGGCTTCCTCACTTTATCCTCTCAGCTAGGAAACAGGTTAATAAAGGTTTAACAAGATCAATGTCAAACAGTGACTGTATGGCCGAGTTCAATTTACCTAACAGCACTTCCTAGAATCAGTGTCCGCATATAGCCTATACAATTGAAATCACAAACATCCCTCTCCAAGCTGAAGAAATTATTTCTTACAACTAACAAAACTTTCTACAGTCTGTTACAGTACAGTTCATTAATAAATAGTTGGATTTGCATAGTGAGTTGAACTATTAATATATGCACAATATCATCTGAGAAGTTTAATTTAGAATATTAAATACTGTCTGGAGAGATGGTTTAGCAGTTGAGAGCATTGGCTGTTCTTTCAGAGGATCCAGGTTCAATTCCCAGCACACGGCAGCTCACAACTATCTTTAACCCCAGTTACAGGGAATCTGACACCCTCATACAAACATACATGCAGGCTAAACACCAATGCACATAAAATAAAAATAAACCTTAAAAAATTCATTTAAAGGGCTGGAGAGATGGTTTAGCAGTTAAGAGCACTGACTGCTCTTCCAGAGGTTATGAGTTCAATTCCCAGCAACCACATGGTGGCTCATAAACATCTATAGTGAAATCTGATGCCCTCTTCTGGCATAACAGTATAGAGGCAGATAAAACCCTCATACATAAAATAAACAAATAAATAAATCTAAAAAACATTCACTTAAAAACAGTCAGGCAGTGGTAGCACATCCTTTAATTTCAGTATTCAGGAGGCAGAAGCAGGAGGCTCCCTGTGAGCGCAAGGCCAGCCTGGCCTACAAAGTGAGTTCAAGGACAGCCAGGGCTGTTACACAGAGAAGCCCTGTCTCAAAAACAAATGAACAAACAAACAAACAAAAAACCAAAACCAACAAACAAAAAAAGAAGAGTATCAATTACTTTATAGATAGACCAAGATTAAAACAGGGCTGTTTTGGTGCATATTATATCATCCCTTGTAGCTCACTAAAGTCAATAGTCTTTCCTTTTAATAAATACATTTAAAACATTATTATCAAACTATATCAAACTAGCAGAGAGCTGTTCTCCCTTTTGGGCTGAATGGTTTCTATGTATAAAATATATTTCAAATTAATTTTTCTTTTAAGATATTCACCAAAGTAAGCCATTAACAGCTAACTATAATTATCACAAAGCCAATGTAAAGAATCGAAAGACATTTATAAATTATTTTAAATAAACAGTAAATTGTAAAAGTAATTTTCCTCCTTTGGTAAACTGAAAATCTGATGTTGATGATTTCTTGAAGAGAAAACAGCTTTATGATAAGGGTCAACATGGCTTACTGTCTTCCTGATACGACAGTGAATGGGGTTAGATTTAACAGATTACATTTCAAAATTAGGTGGCTCACCATGGGACTTTTATTTAACTCCTTATGTATGTCAAGCTTGCCTTGAACTCACAGCACTCCTCTTGCCTCATCCTCTTGTATGCTAAAATTACAGACTACACTAGACAACGTACCTTTGAGTATTAACATAAAGAAATATGATTTAAAAACTTTATAAATCACACTGAAAGTACTATCTATCCTTATGAGGACCCTATTTTTTTTTAATTTGTTTGTAAGTTAGGGTTTCATTATAGATCAGATTGGAACTTGTGGTGATCTTTCTTTTTCTTTTTTAAAGATTTATTTATTAATCATGTACACAGCATCTGCCTGCATGTACCCCTGTGGGCCAGAAGAAGGCACCAGATCTCATTATAGATGGTTGTAAGCCACCATGTAGTTGCTGGGAATTGAACTCAGGACCTCTGGAAGAACAGTGCTCTTAACCTCTGAGCCATCTCTCAGTCTCCCATGGTGACTTTTCTTTATCCGTCTCCTATGTCTTGAGGTTATAAGTTTATGTCAGCTTCAAAGTGACTTTAAAAAAAAAAATCAAAGTAGGCCCAGTGGGATGATTCTGCTGGTTAAGCATGCTTGCCATCAAGACTGATCCTCTAAGTTTCACCATTAGGGCTCAACATGGGAGGAGAGAACTGACTTCCACAAGTCTCTATATATGTGTCTGTCTTCTTTCTCTCACACTAAACAAATAAATGAAGTAAACCAGTAAAGAGAAGCTACATTCTTTGCCCTGAGATTAAATAGGTTTGGCAGCAGTGAACTAATTTTATTTGAGTACATTCCTGCCAAGAGAAGGGCATCTGGGAGTCAGTGTAAACACAAAGATAATAAAACAGGCCAGGAAAATGGCTCAGTATGTGCCTATAGCTCAAATCACGAGGACCTGAGTGTGAACCCCCAGCACCCAAAAGCTAGCTAGACATGAAGACACACCACCTTGGAACCTCATAACTCACAAGTGGAAGAATTGTTGATCAGCTAGTCTAACTGAAATGGGAAGCTCCAGGTTCAGTGAGAGACCCTCTTTCAAAAAGAAACGGGGCTGGAGAGATGGTTCAGCAGTTAAGAGCACCTGCTGTTCTAACAGAGGACCTGGGTTTAAGCCTCCATGGTAACTCAAAATCATCTGTAATTCCAGTTACAGGGAATTACAGAATCCTTTTCTGACCTACAACGTCACCAGGAATGCATATGGTGCACATACATACATGCAGGCAAAAGAGTCATACCCATAAAAATCTAAAAAAAGAAAAAGAGAAACAAGGTGGCAGTCTGGGAAGATGGCTCAGTCAGTGCAGTATTGTCACACAGAGGGCAGATGTTGGGATCTCCAGCACCATATAAAAAGCCCTGTAAGGGTGGCTGCCTAAAACCTAGCATTCAGGAACCAGAGACAGGAAATCCCAGGGAAAGCCAGCCTAAATGTTGTCACAAGCTCTGGGTTTAAGAGAGAGGCCAAAAAGACATCTGATGTCAAGTTCAGGCCTAAACACAGACACCTGAACGTGTACCGCACACTTTGAACATACCATACATAAAACACTTGAACAGACAATTACAGAGGAAGACATCTGAGGCTGATCTCTGGCTGTCACACATGCACCAATAGTCAACTCATATGCGTACAAACACACAGAGTAATTCAAGTGTTCAGAAATGCTAAAATTGCCAGTTGAAATCAGTGAAGAATTTTTATTAAAGGTTTCTCTAATGCCTCTCCTAAAAGTTTACTTCAGCTGTTTTATGACCTAATAGCTACTACAGAAGACTCAATGCCATACTTCCACTAATCTAAGTAACCCTTAGGTCTATAGAAAAGTATATTAAAACAGAAAGAAGTCATTTAGCTAGTATATGAACGTAGCCAATGAACAACTACTCAAGTCTTTTTTCCACTCACTTATTTAGAGCGTGTGTATGTGCCACGGGACACGTGTGAGGTGAGAGAACAACCTGTGGGAGTCACTTCTCTTTTCCCACCATGTGGGTCTGGGGACAACCTAGGTCATAAAGCTTGGAGGCAAGCATCTTTACCTTTTGACCCACCTGGCTAAATATATTTTTTCTCACATTATTAGCATCCTACTTTTTTTTTTAAATTTATTATTTATACAGTTAGCCAGAAGAGGGTACCAGACATCATTACAGATGGTTGTGGGCCACCATGTGGTTGCTGGGAATTGAACTTAAGACCTTTGGAAGAGCGGGCAATGCTCTTAACCGCTGAGCCATCTCTCCAGCCCCCAGCATCCTACTTTTTTACATAGTGTGTGCAAGACAGAGGTGTGCACAGAGACCTCCTCGATCATTCTTGGTCATATTTCTTCGAGGCAGGGCCTTTCACTGAAATCTGTGCAAGATTGTCAGCAAACTCTAACTTCAGAGCTCTGGGGTTACAGACGTGAAGTCACAGCTGGCTTTTTATGTGAATACCGAGGCTCTGACCTCAGGTTGTCATGTTTGAGCAGCAAGTGCTCTTACCTGCTCAGCCACCTCCCTTTATCCCCTTACATTTTCTAATTTTGTGAACAACTCTTCAGTGTTTACTGTCCACAATAAAACAAAACAAATTTTTTTTGATAATAATGGAGATGTTAGAATATATTCTGTAATGAGTAGAGCGCAGTATATTACATTTCAACTACTTCAGTGTCTTTTGTTACATCTCTCCAGTAAATAAGCACTGCATTCATTGTCCTTTAATAGTACTTCCTGCCGGGCGATGGTGGCACACGCCTTTAATCCCAGCACTCGGGAGGCAGAGGCAGGCGGATCCCTGTGAGTTCGAGACCAGCCTGGTCTACAAGAGCTAGTTCCAGGACAGGCTCCAAAACCACAGAGAAACCCTGTCTCGAAAAACCAAAAAAAAAAAAAAAAAAAAAAAAACCAAAATAAATAAATAAAATAAAAAAGAAATAGACCCTACCTCAAGAACCACTCCAGAGACACAGCTTCCAAAGTTGATTCTGATCTCCTCACATGCACACACTCAATATGAACACATACACACAAGTTTCATTATTAAGCAAAAACCAAGTGTCTCTTCAATAGACTTAGGGTATTGTGGGCATTGCTGCATGTAATCTTCCTTTCAATTTCTAGTAAATGGTATGTCATTGTTTTTTGCCCAGATCAAAATAACATAAGTAGTTTGGATTATGGGAATAAGGGATTGTGAAGGAATTGGCTCAAATATCTTGTCACCAACCAAATAGCTTAACGGGTCAGAGTTGCCATGTGGATCAAACAGCATAACAGATGTTCAGGCTTTTAAATTTATGTAAATATAATTGAAGAAATACCTTTTCTTTCTTTTTTTCTTTTTTTGGTTATTTGAGAGAGGATTTCTCTGTGTAGCTCTGGCTGTCCTGAATTTGCTCTGTAGACCAGGCTGGCCTTGAACTCAGAGATTCATTCGCCTGCCTTTGCTTTCCAAGTGCTGGAATTACAGGCGTGCACCACTACCGCACAGCTTGGAAGTGTTCTTTAACTATCCTGCTTCCCATACGGTTGAGTGGCTATTCAGTCAGTATTATTTAAGAGCTTACCCTGTTATAGGAACTGTCCTAGCAGTGGGGAAACCAAGTAAACAGAATTCACAACATTTGCCCCTGATCTTGAGAGGAAGACAAACTACCCACAAGTTAAAAAATAAAAAAAATTTACATACCGGAAAATGCATACTCTACAAGAGAAAATGTTGGGGTTACAAGCTACAGTAAACATAGTCTGAAAGTTACTGAGGCAGACTTGCATTTATGGAGGCAGTCCTATGAAGGTCAACTCCAGGTAACGAAACTAGAGACCTGCTTCTTGCAGCAAAAAAGTGATGTACTTTTTGTCGGAGCGTAAGGAGCAAGTGACAAAAACCGAACCCATAAACATGACTAAGGACCCCGGGCTTGTAGGCCTAGAGTCTACTTTCTCTAAACGTAATCGAAAACCACAGTATGACTTCAGGGAGGTGTAACACGTGATTAGCTTTTCTTGTTCAAAGATAAAATGAGATTTGTGAGGAAGGCTTCAAACACAGAGAACTCTAAGATGCAATCATCCTGAACTTCGGTTCTCTGGATTTCTACATGTAAAGCAAGTGGATTGAGCTAGAAGCCATTTCCTTCCCAATGAGATGCCCCTAGGCGAGGAGTTCCAGGAGCAAGGGAACAGAGCGAATGGCCACGGTATTATCCTCATCCCCGCCGACGCCCAGCACACAACTGGCGTTCAGAGACTGACGCCGAGCTCCAATGAATCAATGAATGGCCTACTGGGGCCGCGCGGGGCGCGGGACCAGGCCTCAGCGCCGGAAAAGATCGCGAGAGGCCGCGCGCCAGACCAGGAGGGGAGCCGGAGGGGGTCCGACTCCGCCAAGGTCGGGGCCCGGTGTGGAGATCCCGAACCTCCGGCTAGGGGCAGATGGAGCTGAACTCGGGGCCCGGCTCCGGGATCTAGGAAGAAAGCTGAGACGGGTATCCGGGCGCTGCCACTCACCGCTGCCGTCGCCAGGCTGTGCATGTTGGGAGCGGCCGCCGCTCTCCTTCCGCCGGACGCGCCGACCCAGCGTCCCAGCTTTAGCGGCTGTACAGCCGGAGATGAAGAGCCGCCATCCGCCTCCGGTTCGCTCCTCCCCCTTCGCAGCCCTCTGACCTCTCACCTCTGACCCTCCACCCACTGAGCACTTTCCCGCCTACTAGCCCTCGGCCTAGCTAATAGTTTCAGACACTTAAGATACAGGATCAAAATGACATCTGCAACCTACTGGTCCTCGTATTCCACTGGCGTCGCAGGTATATCCCCAGAGGAGCGAGAACTCCGACTTTCCCCCTAAGGCCAGAGAAGGGCGGGAAAAGGCCGGCCGTATTGGAAGGACACGAATTGCGCATGCTCAGCCAGGCTGAGCTAGAGGAAAATGGTGGGCGGTCCGAATTCGGAACAACGGAGAGTGCGCATGTGTACTACCATACCGTCACGGCAGGGGGCGGGCCGCCCGGGTGAGGGGCAGGGCGTGGTGAGGGGGCGGAACGAATGCCGGCGGGGCGGGGCTTGAGTGTTGACGCGCACGCGCCCAGACTGGTTGCGTCGAGAGTACGTGCGTGCGTACGTGTTTGCGTGTAGTCACAGTTCCCGCCATCAGCGGGTTCAGGTGTGTAGGAGCGATCGCGGTGTCGCCGTCTGGGGCCAGGAGAGCCCCTTCCTTCTGAGCCCCTCGGCTCCTCCCCCTCCGCGAGAACTCTGCTTCCGGCAGGCTCGTCCCGGGCTCCGACCCTCTGGCACAGGTAAGCGGGCCGGGACAGCTCCAGAGTCGAGCCGTTTTCTCCAGCCTCACCCCCCATTCCCGTGCGGTCCGCCCACTCGGCGTCCACTCCAGAGTTCGCCCGGCTACTACTCAGCCTGCACCGGGTCCCCGGACGCTTCCTGTGTCTTACAGGTGCCCCGCTCGAGTGTTTTCCCCTCCGCTTTCCCTCTCCTTGAACGCAGCGCGTATTGTCACTCCCTTTCCGCATCCTCAACCTGCCCCCGCTTTGCTCGGGTTGTGGTGGTCTTGGCTTGCCTCCTAACGAGGCCTGCTGTCTCTCCAGGTGACTTCCGATGTCACACAGCCCTTAGACCTTGGATGCGGTACTCATTCGCTGTCATGGCCATTCTTTACTTTCCTCCTCCTCTTAAACGGTGCTCACGAGAAAAGTCAGAGAGTTAATTTTTTGTCGTGCATTTGGTTGCTTTCCGTATCTAGCCACTCCTGTTAAGCCCAAATCCGTGGATCCTCACAAAAGCCAACAAAGGAGAGTGAGTCCCATAGTAAAAGCAAAGAGCCTTTATTTTAATCAAGTTTGCAAACTCGGTCTCTCTGCACTTCCAACATATTGAAATATCCGGAGAGCCCCAGGCTCAATTAGAATTGGGTTTTTATAGTAGTAAAGGTGGGGGTGAGGGATCTCAGAGGTTCATGACCCCTGATTGGCTGACATTTGTCTAGGGGTGTCATGGTGAAGTGCTGGCAGGTGTTTCTATTTACAGTGCTTCGAATGCCAGGAATTTCCTTTGAATGGTCTGCTCTTGGGTGGGGGTCAGGTAATCTGGGCCTGCCAGGCATTGTCTCAGGGTAAACTATTGAGACTACAGACTCCATTTAAATTTATTGATGCCCAGAGTTCCAGGTGATAATGGTTGGAAGTAAAGAAACTTCCTTTGGGTGACCTGCCCAGACTTAGCTTAACGTGTCTGGCCCTCACACTCCCACGATGTCCAATTTAACACTTTTAAATCAAGATCTGGTAAAAAAAAAAAAAGTAATTGGTAATAAAGTTCCGTGTCTTTGGAGAGTTCTACTATAGTATTTTTCAGGTATTCTTATGGATGAATCTCCAGCTGAAATAGATAATCTAAGAGAATGTTGAGGTGGTAAAGAGGCATTTGGGTTTATTGGGTTAGAGATTAGAGGAGGGTTTTGGGCCACATATATAGATAGATACATATATGCGTTTGTATGTTATGTGTGTCATTTAACTTGTGTAAAGTTGGAACCATGTGTGTGCATGACATTGCCTAAAGAAGAGTACAATGCTAGAGAAGGGTACTTCGGTAGCATGGAGATGCTTAACGCTTAATAATGGGTATAGGGACTAAAGAGATGAAAAAATGTTGTTGCATACTGGCAAAAGGTAAACGAGGGATGAAAAACTCAGCAACAAACATAATCATTTGTCTTGGCGAGAAATTTAGGCAGGGTAAAATGATTCGATTTGGGGCTGGGGTTTTCTTGTGTTGCCGTTCCATTCCTCTCTAAGTTTTAAATTTCACTATATATTGATAATTTGAGAATTTTTATTTTCAGCCCTATATTCAAATAAATGGCTGTCTGCTTCCCAAATTCCACTTCTCCATTCATTCAGAAATAACGTACAATTTCTTTGCTTGAAACCCTTCAGTGACTTTCCCATTGCCAAGGTGCTTATTACTTTAAGATAAAATTTCAAGTCCTGTTTTGGGTTATGGTTCGGGTGCTGAAATGCTTGCCTAGCGTGCCCAAATCCTGCGTTTAAGCCCCAGTGTCATATAAAGCAGGAGAGACGGAATCAGGAACTCAGAGTCCCCCTCAGATAAACCAGCCTAGGTTACAAGACGTTCTTGGTATGTGTGTGTTGGGGGGGGGGGAGTTGATTGAGATTCTACATAACCTGGTTTTTGCCTACCTTATTAGATTTAGCTTTATCTTCTGACCTTTTCTCTTAATTAACCTTCAGACACACTGATTTGTGTTGACATACAACATTTCTAGCTTAGGCCTTTCAACACACTATTCTGTTTATCTGAATTGTTTCATCCTTCAATCAAATATATCTTCATTTTCAGCTTAAGTAATACTTCCTGAGTAAAGCCTTCTCTGGATTTTTTTTCCCCTCTACTCTGAACCCCCAGGTTGGATAAAAGTTACTTTAGGCAGAACCGAGTCCTGCAGATATATCTGATCTCTTCACACACACACTGTAAAAAATAAAAATAAAGCAACTCACTTTCGTTTTCATTTCTCAAGAATTGGTTAAATGAATCAAATTGGAAATTGCCGTTAACTTAGAGAGATGTGAGATGATTTAAGAACCATCTTGTTTGAAAACATAAGTTTTCTGATACTCCCATTAGAACAGACACCTCATTCTGCAAAGGAAAACAGATGAGTGTGCCTCGGCTGTAGGGTGCTCGCTTATCATGCTGGAAGCCTGGATTCTAGCCATGGAAATTTGAAAATGAGCAGGGGACAAAGAGCAACAAAGGGTCTCCAGTTTAGGAAATTTTTTGCTTATTCCTGTGTTATCAAATCATTTTCATTTTTTTTCTTTTTGCTTTTTGAGGCAAGCTTTTTCTGTGTAGATTTTGGTGTCTGTTCTGGAACTTGCTCTATAGACCAGGCTGGTCTTGAACTCACCAAGAGCCACCTGCCTCTGCCTCCAAAGTGCTGGAATTAAATATGTGTATCACTCTCTCCACCTCCCCTACCTCCACCAAATCATTCAGATTTTAGACAGTCTAATGGAAAGAAATCTTTTCTTTTGTAGATTAGAGATAAATCTTATTTAGGTCAAATTTCTTCTCTCTTTTATGACAGTAACTTTATCTTATGTGTGTATTTGTTTTATGAACTTTAAAAATATTGTATTATTTGTGTGGTGTCCGTGTACATGTCCATGCACACGGTTGGTGGGTTGGGTGCATGTGTGCCATCGTGTATCTGTTGAGGTGGTTAGAAGGAGTAGTCGATTGATTCTCTTCACTCTCGGGTCCAGGGATCGCACTCATGCCATCAGGCTTGGGCAGCTAGTGCCTAAGTTCTTGTGTCTGATTAGGGAGAAAGCTGTGAAAACAACTAGTGTGACTTTAGTTCCTAAGGAGGGTGAGGGGTAGGAAATGGTTCTTAGAAGACTATTGTAGAAAAGGATTTATTGATGGAAAAATCCTCTGAGAGTGGTGTCTGGAAAGTGAATCACACAATGCTGAGTATGCACTGTGGTAGTGGTTATAAATTTTGGTTCCAGCCTGGTGTAGTGGTGTATGCCTATAATCCTAGCACTTGAAGAGTGGAATTAGAAGGAACAGTAGTTCCAAGATCTGCCTCTACCTACATAGTTCAAAACCAGCCTAGGCTACATGAAATCCTGTTTCAAAAACAAAGTAGGGAAAAAGGTTTTGGGCATAGTTTTGTCTCTTGGTGACTCAATATTAATTTCTTTTCCTTTTTAAAAGATTGGTTTACTTTTATGTGTGTTTTTCATGTATGTAGTATGTTTATATGTATATGTACCACATCTGTGCCTATTGCCTGTGGAGGTCAGAAGAGAGTGTCTTTCCCCAGAACTGGAGTTATGGATAGTTTTGAGCCATCACATGGTGCTGGGAATCAAGACCAGGTCTTTTGCAAGAACAAGTGATCTTGATTACTAAACTACCTCTTTAGCCCCAAGGATGTGGATGTCCTGTATATGTGTTGCTTTTATTAATCGATGAATAAAACTGTTTTGGCCAATGGCTTAGCAGAGTAAAGCCAGGCGGGAAATCCAAACAGAGATAGAGTAGGCAGAGTCAAGGAGATGCCATATAGCTGCTGAAGGAGAAAGATGCTGGGACATTATTGGTAAGCTACAGCCTTGCGGTGATACATAAATTAATAGAAATGTGTTAATTTAAAATGTAAGAGCTAGCTAGGAATAAGCCTGAGCTATTGGCCAGTGTTATAATTAATGTAGTTTCTATGTGATTATTTGGGTCTGGGTGGCCAGGAAATGAAAGTCCAGTTTCTGTTTACTCCCTGCATAATTTCTTAATTTCTGAAAGCCTCAGTTTCCTTTATGTGTAAGATACAGTGATAAAACCTGTCCTCTAAGATTATTAATATTAAATCAATAATGTTTGATACTTAGCACTGTGTTTAGTAAATGCATAATATTTATTGGGTGGAGTGATGATTTAAAGAAGTGAGTTTTGAATGAGTTAACTTATTTATTTTTGAGGCAGCCTCTCATGTAGGCCAAGTTGGCTTTGAAACTAACTCACTATGTAGCTGAAGATGAACCTTGAATTCCTACTTTACCTCCCAAGTGTTGGGATAGAGGCATACCAGTTAATCATTTGCTGACAATGAATTCCAGGGTATCATGCATGCTAGGCAAGCACCCTACCAATGGAGCCACATCCCTATCCCAAAGTAATGAATTTCTGAATTAGGGAAGTACTTTTTGTTTTTTTGAGACAGGATTTCTCTGTGGCTTTAGAGCCTGTCCTGGAACTAGTTCTTGTAGACCAGTCTGGACTCTAACTCACAGAGATCCGCCTGCTTCTGCCTCCCGAGTGCTGGGA